CGACGCCAGCACCCGGCGACCTCGGTCGGGACCTGCGCTGGGCGGCGGGCCGCGCATGCGCAAGGACGAGCGCGCCCGAGCGCGGGAAGCTGCTCGCTGCAGACTGCTCCTTCCTCAGCCCGAAGCTGTTGCACCCGCTGCTGCTTGCTCGCTTTGCCCGAGCCTGCAGAGAAGCTTGTCACTTCCTCAGCGGGTGGTGTGATAGACTCTCCGCCGTGACGTGCCGTTGCTCCTCGGGTGAGGGAAATAGGACCGCGTAGAGCGCTCGAAAATACCAGTTCTTACAAAACGGTTCAGGTAGGCAAAGGGAAAGATGCCGGCCACACAGAAGCCCATGAGGTACGGGCACACGGAAGGACACACCGACGTCTGTTTTGATGATTCTGGAAGGTAAGCGTCTCGGGAAATAATAAAAAAAAAAGAACTAGCCAGGTGTGAATGTCTGCCGATGATGACCCATGCGGAGGGAGAGAGGCAGGGATAAACAGGAGCGTCGGTTTCCTGAGACTTGTTTGCTTTCAACTCTCGTGGTAGTTCTAGATCTCAGGAAAGTTAAAATTCTTTCCCCAGAGGAGCGTCTTCTCGCCACCCACAATTTCATCCGGTGTCACGTTCGTTTTATGAGCTCGCTCACTGCATACTGCTTGCCAAATCGCTCATCCCGTCAGCAATGGCATCCTCTTTTGGCCTTAGTAATGTTATTTCTCTTTGTTCTCTTTCTTTCTCTTTTCTTTTTAACTTGCTGACTTCGAACCGACTTCTGTTTCGTTCTTAAACTGTTATTTTACAAGGCCTTCTGCTTTTAATCTTGTTTGGAGGGGGTGGGGAGATGACCAGCCAGAGTTCAGGGGGGCCTGTAATACCAGTGATTAGGAGGTGGAGGCAGGGGATTCCCAGAGCAAGCAGGCTAGCTAGATTAGCTGAATTCATGAATTCCGGGTTCAGGGGAGACCCTGCCTCAGTATGTCAGAGCTATCGAAGAAAACATCTGCCATTAACCTCTGGCCTTCATATGCTTGTGCCCGCGCGCACACACACACACACACATGTGAACACACATAAACACAGGCGTGCAAACAATATACATACACACTTGCATGTCCACACATAAGAACCTTGTTTTTGTCCTCACAACAAGAAGGTCCTGAATGTTTGAAACAGTGCAGCTATCCGTAGAGAAGATGAGTAGAGGATGAATTAGTAGGAGGCGCTTTGATCAGCTGACTAGCAGAAGTGAGCACTGGAGTGGAGGTCAGCCTGGAGAAGACAGGTATCAGTAGGATGAGTCAGTGGTTGAGGGCAGAGAAAGATGTCTGATCAGGTCTGCATAGCTGGATGTTACAGTTGAGGGGCTTATGCCATCATTTGTAGGTGCTGGAAATACCTGGCACTTGAAGAGCATGGTTTAGAGGGGACAGGGAGTAGAGATTACCAATTATCATTTGGACAAGGTTAGTACAGGAAGTCTTTCAGATGTTCAACTAGAAATGTAAAGAGAACATTTGGAAATCAGAAAAATGAGCCAGGGTTAGAAATAGATGTATCTTTGCTTGATGTCTGTCAGGGTTGAGGATTGAAGTCTCGACTGGGAACATGAATGGAATTGTCAGCCTATGTACAGATATCTGCTGCATTAATTTAGATGAAGTCACCTAGAGAGGAATGACTGTAGTGAGAAGAGGGGTGCAAGGGCTAGGCCCCCAAACTAGATATTGTTGTAGAGGAGGGACATCCCCCGCCAAGGAGAAGAAAAGAAGTTACTGTAACAAGTGTTCTTGGTGAACCAAATTGAAAAAGAATAATAGATTAAGCCACACGGAGGAAACTGATGATCTTGTGTAAGTTTTGTGGGCTAGAAAGAGTTGAAAGCTGTGTTGGATTGGAGTCGAGAACGGAAGGGGAGGAGTTGGAGTTAGTGAGTGACATTCTTGAGAAGTTGGATGGCATGTGGGGTTAGGAAAGGTTTTTACTTTTAAGGTGAGAGATTACAACATGTATGTGTATAGAGAATGAGGGATTTATGAGTACTGGATATCCTGAGTAGGTGAGAGATGGGGACATGGTCAAATTCACAAGTGAAGTGCAGGTAGGATGGAGAGTAAATGCGCTCAACAATAGATTTTTTTGCTCTCTGAGTAAAGCTGGAAGCAGTTGTTTGAAAGAAGAGGAGCTGGTGTGAGTCTAGTGTTTTAAAAGGAGGAGCGGGGCCGCATCCAACCGCCTAAGAGGAGCGCGGGCCCCCACCCGGCTAGCTTACACGCGAAATAATTACACACAAATTGTATTCATTTAAACACTGCCTGGCCCATTAGTTTTAGCCTCTTATTGGCTAACTCTCACATATTGATTCAACCCATTTTTAATAATCTGTATCGCCACTTGACTGTGGCTTACCTGCGTGAGTCTAACCAGCATCCATCTCGGAGAGAAGAGCCATGACGTCTGCCTGACTCTGCTTTCTTTCTCCCAGCATTCTGTTCTTTCTACTCCACCTATCTAAATTCTGCCCTATCAAAAAGCCAAGTAACACATAGACAGAAGACCCTCCTCCACCAGTCTAGGGAGAGGAAGAGTTGGATGTACTAGGGAAACGCAGCTGGATTGAGGGCAGCACTAACACTAAAACTTCTCTGGACCCAAAGTGGGAACAGACAATCTGGATGTGCATTCTTCAACTGCTCTGACAGTGCAAACTTGTAAATAGATGGGTTAACCAAACCTGGGAGTGTTGTCGTGGGTACCAGAACGATGGAGGGCCAGAAGGTCAATGAGAAGAAGACAGATATTAGTGACAGACCATGGGATCTAAGACAGATTAGAAGGGATTTGAGAATTTAAGGGAGTGAGAAAGAAAAGGTCGTCTCAATAAATTGGGTTCTGGGCTGGGCATGATGGTATATGCTTTTGATCCAGCACTGGGGCAAAGTCAGGCAGATATTTGTGAGCTTGAGGCCAACTTGGTCCACACAGTAAGTTCCAGGTCAACCAGAGTTACATGATAAGATTCTGTCTCAAAAGTAGATAAACAAGCAAATAAATAATTCTGTTTTTCAGTACAATACAAATTGTATGAGGGGCTAGAGTGGTGTCTCAGTGGTTAGTAGCACTTCTTGCTCTTCCAGAGGGCTTAGATCTATTTCCCAGCACCCACATGGTAGCTAACAGCCATCTGCAACTCTGGTTCCAAGGGATTTGATGCCCTTTTCTAGTCTTTGGACACCGGGCAGGCATATGGAGCACAGACTACATGCAGACAAAAGACTCAGACATATCATATAAAATATTTTTTTACTTGTTTGAGTTAGAATGCTGAGGGTAATAAGGTAAAATGTTAAGTGATTAGGACAGTGGAAGTTGAAATTATGAATCAGTTTCAATATTGTAGAGGTAAAGACGGTCTAAGCTTGTGACTGTGGAAGTGTGAGGTAGATGGCAAGGTCATTAGAGGAGAAGCTGGTGTGTCAGGAGGAAGTTTCATCATATTGAATTGAAAAACACAAACTATGGTAGACATGGTATGGACTTCTGAAAGGCTTTACTGTACCACGAATGGGTTCCCCTTTGTGGAGTAGACCTTGAATCCAAACAGTACTCGGTTACCCCCATAACTGCCATGCCACATATGTCCACACAAGTCATATAGCACAGGCTGGTCTCAAACTTAATATGTAGCTGAGACCGACTCTGCTTCCCAGACACTGAGATTATAGTCAGTGCTATTACCCTGGCTAAACACTTTCTTATGAACCCCTTCTGATTTTTCTGTTTAGGAATTAATCATTCTTTTCTCCTAAACATTCATCTTATTCATCTCTTCCCTTCCTCCCCTTTCTCCCTCCCTTCCTCCCCTTTCTCCCTCCCTTCCTCTTTTTTTTTTAATTTATATATTTTTTTGTCCATTTGCCCTATACTGTTTTTACGTAACTTGCTGGTTTTTGTTTTTGTTTGTTTGTTTGTTTTTGATTTTTGAGGCAGGGTTTCTCTCTGTAGTTTTAACTGTCCTGGAACTTGCTTTGTAGACCAGGCTGGCCTTAAACTCATGGAGATCCACCTGCCTCTGCCTCCTGAGTGCTGGGAATAAAGGCATGCATCACCACTGCCTGATTAATTTGCAGTTTTATATGTATCCACATAGGACATTTAAAAAAAAAAAAGAAAAAAGAACGGGGCTGAAGAGATGGCTCAGTGGTTAAGAGCACTTGACTGCTCTTCCAGAGGTTCTGAGTTCAATTCCCAGCAACCACATGGTGGCTCACAACCATCTGTAATGAGATCTGGTATCCTCTTCTGGCCTGAAGGCATATATGCAGGCAGAACACTGCATACACAATAAATAAATAAATGAATAAATAAAAAATATTTTTAAAAAATGAACAAAAGCACTTGGGAGATGAGAAATTTGAAAAACAAGCTATAACAGATGCATCTAGTTATTTATTTTAATAATTTTGGAGTAGTTGAGCTCAAACATTTGCTATAGTTTGTGTGTGCCATAAGTTGCTTGGTACAGCGGATATATATGATG